CTTTTGCTTTGGAATTTATAAAAATGAGACATCAAAGAGTTTTGATGGGCCCTAGCTCATAGATCTTACAATAGATGGAACCAAGACTGTTTCTGCAAAATGAGATCAATCCAGCTTAACACACAGCTTGTGAGTTTTAAAAGTCTTACTAGCAAGGCTGCATGGAGACTGTGCAGTGCAGACTTGCACATTCATGTGCTCTAGCCCTGCATTTGCATACTAGTGACTGTGTCTATGTGTGTGATTTTCTTCCCAGGGCCGCCCTGTGGTGATTTGTGATAAGGAGGATACTGAGACCATTAAGAACCAAAAAGAACGATCAAGGTGCCCCACTCAGTGGACTGCTTGCAGGGCATTCTCAGTGTGATCCCCTTACAGTTGCTGGCCTTCCATCTTGCTGTGTTGAGAGGCTATGACGTAAGTGATCTATTACTGCAGAAACTTCGTGATGGCTTTTTACCAGTGGGCTCATCCGGATACTTTTCTCCTAAATTTTGAACAATAGCATTTTAGAACTCCATCAAATTTATGTCTGTCACCTGTTACCTTTTCCTGGCCCATTTTTTAGGTTATATCACAGTATCTTCTTACTCATAGAACTTGAAGGAACTGTAGAGGTCACTACCAAGACTGGGACTCTCCTTGGGGAATCACCTATTTTCTTAGTGCATGTTCTTAAGAGGGCAGCTGTTGGCATTTTGGGCGGGGCGATTCTTTGTTGCTTGGAGAGCTTTTAGTGTTGTTGGTCCCCCAATTACTGTGGCAACCAAAATATCCTGTTCTTATGTTTCTAGTGTCCCCTGTAGAATTCTAGTACCTGTAGAATTCTTTCCCCTAAGTTTTTCAGTTTTATTTTTTTCCAAGATAACATTTTTTTTCTTAAGATAGAGGCTTGCTATGTTGCCCAGGCTGGCCTTGAACTCCCGAGCTAATGCAGTCCTCCTGCCTCAAACTCCTGAGGGACTTTAGGCACATAGCACCAAGCCAGGCTCTAAACAAAAATCCTTTCCCCAGTCAGTATGATTTCTCAAGTCTTGCTTTTTTTTTTTTTTTTTACAGGTTGATTTTCACGGAATCTTGCCAAATCTGTAACTGTGGAGTAATGAGCACCCGGAAGCTGAGACAAGTCAGCAACACAAGACACCTTTCGTATTTAAAACTTTGATTTAAAACACCACCTCTGGAAGCCTTTTTTAGTAAATCCTTATTTAATATCAGTTACAATTATTCCACTCAACTTGTGATTTTTGTGAAAATGCCTCTTATATTTTTCCAGTAATATGCTTAATGAAATCTGTATTGGAATCCATACCAGAAAGATTTTAGCTATTAAAGAACGAGGTACTAAATTTCCGGGTACTTGACTTCAATCTGGAGGATTTTGTTATGTTTTTGAATTTAAATAATTGCTTTTTTTTACCATGCTTCTGTTCATTCACACCAGTGAAGGGGCAGTGCATTTAATTGGATGTCTGAAGCCAGTGGCAATATAGTGCAATTGTTGGACATCTACTGACGATTTTTGTTAAGTTATATAGAAACAAAAAGATGCTGTGGTGTTTGTTTTTTTTTTTGCTTGTTTGTTTGTTTTCTTTTTTGGCGGTACTGGGGTTTGAACTCAAGGCAGGCGCTCTACCAGTTGAGCCACACCCCTACCCCTCTGTTTTGTTTTTAAATCAAACTATACAACTCATACACTAAACACTTTTCCTGGTGGGACTTATATCTAAGTTCAGTTAACCTTCATTCTCAGACTTGTCTATTATCTGTATATGGGGGTAATTTAGGAAGGAAAATATTATAGTAGTGCGTTGGTGTGCTCCAATCCTTAATAGAACATATTTGCACAATTTCATAGCACAAACTTTAACTTTGAATATTTTGGACAACTGACAACATGGATTTAAATTTGAAAATGAGATTTTGGGTAACTTGCTCCTTGTTTTCTCATCTCCTAAAAGTGGTTTGTATTTCCTTATATTTGTAGTCTTTTGCTTTTTAAATAACTGTTGAATGATACATTTTTTTCTTGTTCTTTGAAATCACAGCACAGCTGCTATCAAATTAAATCAATATGATCTATTCAGTATTCTCTTCAACTTTGTCAAAAGAAAGAATTTCCTACAGTTGAACTACCTTGTTGCATAAAACTAATTAATACCTGTAGTGCCAGTTTGGAAACTCTTTGCAATTAGTTGGAAGATTTACAAGTCTTGACTAATCATTTGAGTGAAAATGTATATGATAGGCTAGGATCAGAAAAATTCTGTGCTTTCCACTGATGTTAAAGAAGGATGGCATCAAGTTAGTATTTCTTCCTAGTATTTTTCCTCTGTATTTTCTATGTTCTATTCCTGAAATTTATTTGGGAATGAAGACAGAATATGTAAAAGTGATACTGAGCTACTTTCTGAAATGGAATTTGACAATTTGGACTACAATGTTAAAAATAGAGTATTTGTTTGACACCCAAAATGTGAGTAATAATTTCTTAACAGAGGGTTTTTGGGCCAGATCTTGGTGGGCATATGAGAGAGTGGTTATGTTTTGGTTAAGTCCTTTTCCCTCAAAAGCTTTCATTTTTAAATTCTGCAGGTAAAATATTTAATACAATTATTAATAAGCTCAGTCTTTTTCTCTTTTTTTGTATTTGAACTTCTTCATGAGGTTAAGATTTCCTGATAGCAATTATTGCTGCAAAAGAAGCACAGAATTCTACTTGTGTATGAGGCACATTTTGAGGCAATTTGGAAGGAGACTGATGGTGATTAGAAATCTGATTTAAAAAAAATGTCACTATTTCATCATATATGTTGCTACTTTAGTTATATTTATCTACTCTGTTCTAAGACTATTTTATTTAAGTCTGCAGGTTTTAGTAAGTGTATAGTTTAATAGCATTTGACACATGATTTGTATGGGTTTATAACATTTCGTTTTTAAAATTATTTTATTAACAGGTTACTGTGCATCATTAATGGGGTACAGTGTGGTGTTTCAGTACATTTATACATTATGAAATGACAACTCAGGATACTTAGGTTATCCATCACCTCAAACATTTGTCATGTTTTGTAAGAACATCCAGAGTCCTCATAGCTTTTTGAATTACATAATTTGGTATTGTTGACTGTAATCACCCTTCGTTGTAATAGAATGGCAGAATTTTC